TTTTATTTTTTGATAAGAATATTATAATAGTGTATAGAAGTTGAAAGTTTAAAAGTTGAAAGTTTCATTTAAGTAGAATTTTTGTAAGTCTGTCTCAAATTTTAGTAAAGTAAATGCTGTGTATAACTTAATTGTCTTCGTCACTGTCCAAAACAAATACACAAAAATAAATTCGAAGGAGCTGAGCTTCTAAAGTGAAAACCGATGACTATCAAAAGTGTAAATTGCTTGGATAGACAATTTTGCTGCTGATAACTATTTTTTTGACGCTGTGAAGGACCACATATTTCTTAGCAATGCTTTTTATAATAACAACACGAGAATATATCATCAATTCCAATAGATGCTAATATGAGTCGAGTACGCAACTTGGCAAAGAGCTTGCTCTCAATCCATATAAATTAAAACTCTATAAGTTACTAGTGTTATCTGTATACATATATGTATACTGAAGAATAAGAATGGTTCGGATATATAATTTATTTTATTTTATTTAATAAATACTGCACCCAAAAGATTTATTAGCCTCATTAGCATTTCCACGACATTGATATTGCTTAGCACATGAACATATATCACCTAAGGACTTTAAAAAAATTATTCCAGCAAAAAAGTCGTATGATAATGACAATTGGAGAGAAAAGACATAGCGAATGACCGAGTTTTGCCTGGTAATCGCATATGGAGTCTCAGTTATTGTGTCTTTTTAGGAATGTATGGCGTAGTCGTCAAGATTAGTCATGTCAGACTCAGTCTGCTACTGGTGGCCATATGGACACTGTTGTGTAAACCACAATTTTCGTTAATAGACAGTTTGGACTGCTTTTTACGTCCTATTTTGTTATTCCTATGTTTGTAATTGCTGCTGATATCCGCAACTTATTTAAATTGCATCTTACTATTGAGCACCCTACCAGGTAACATCTAAACTGATATAGGAGTGCACTGACAAGCTGAACATACTCAGCTTGAACAATCAGATGCACTTAATATGGTTTCCGGGACATGCTGGCATCCAAGGCAATAAAATGGCAGATAAACTTGCAAGAAAAGGTGCGACTTCAAGAATTATAGGCCAAGAAGCATTCTGTGGTCTAGGCAAAGGAACTCTATCCATTTATATGAACGGAGCAGAGGAAAGAAATAGAACTCTATTGGGAAAGGCTACCACGAATATTACAATCTAAAATGATTTTAGAGACTTACAACCTAAAACATTCAAAAAATAACTGAAGAATTATTGCGGAATTATTGACCAATCACTGTAGATTGAATAATCAGCTAACGAAGTTAGGAATTCAATCCAACTCAGACTGCAGATACTGTAGAGAAGAGAGAGAAACTGCATATCATGTGCACAAGCGAAAGAAATACCTAGGAGGTAATTTCATGGATCATAAGGATCCAAGACTAGAAAAGTTAGGGTCTATACTGTCTTTCATTAAAAAAATCGGACTTGAAGAAACACTGTAATCCGACTAAGGAGCACAATAAAGCTTTTAGGTCGCCGTGCACGATTATTTTCAATAATAGTAATACTCTTCAGCACCAGCTTTGTATGGTTAGATAATTATTTAGAAAACGTAAGTCATATCAATCTGACCAGTTTCGTGTATATAAATTTTTATGTATGGAGAATCTTGGCTTTGGTCGAAACATTGTTCCAATTTGTTTTTAAAAAAATTTATATCTTAAGCACAATCAATAAATATTTAATATAACAAAATTCTTTAAGTGACTTTTGTAGTATAAAAATATCGCTGTGTATAAATTAGGTCTGTTAGGTTAATCAGCTCTTTGTTACGTTAATAAAATATGTTAAGTAATAAAAACGTATTTATTTCATTAATATATTCATAAGCAATGAAATGTCTAAAGAAGTTGAAAATGACTATAAGCGAAATTTTGATAGTAGGATTAAAGTCAGTTCTTATCAAATACCAACCACACGTATTCCGAAACTCATTTAAAGGATTATGCTAACTTAAACCTTTGAGTATATGTTTCTACTTCTCTATGTGAAAATGGTACAAGTTTACAACTAAAATGTTATCATCTTTAATTCATGCCTTCACAATCCCGTGTAGTGAACGGCAGTTGAAGTAATTCATTCACATGTATTTAACTAATTTATGCAGTGTCGCTTTTATTTTTACGACTTCCTTTAATAAGCCAAATTATTAGCATTTTCTCTAACGAAACTGTCACGTTCTGTACATAGTCTAACCACTTCTATTACACTGAGTTAACCTTTAAAGCCAAATTGCCATTAGAATAATTTATGCAGGCTAACTTGAAAAATGAAATAATTTGAATTTCATATGAGTTGCTTGTTCTTCGAAAGATTGCCATATGAGTATGTATATATGAGACATTTTTATCGTACTCATTTGTCAGTATCATATGAAGTGTAGGATTCAACTACATAAAAGGAATCAAATACTTTAACTTTTTCCACAAAATCTCAAATTATGTTTAAGATTGACAAGCATTTCTGATTACTCGATTGTTCACAAGTATTAAGTTTCATATTTGAATTCACTCCGATATCTGTTATTGTCCCAGATAACAAATTAATCTCAACTTCCATTGAAATTCTTTTTCTTTTATGGTTTTTCGTGAAAAATATTCTGATTTTCATTTTTGATTTTTTTTGATTTTGACTACTAGAAAGCAGCAAAAATTTAAAATTTCCATTTTATGTGGAAGAAGGAAAATGACGAAATATTGTATTTGTCATGACTTAAAGTTTCGTAAGTCCAAAGGATTTGAATACGACTATTGTTTTAATATTTCTTTGGAAAAACATTTGGAAACATTCAGTAATAAAACTGTAGAAGAAATTTGCCTGAAGAAATTTACGTATCTCAAAATCCTGATGAATATTTCCAATTTCATTTTGATTTTCCATTTTCATTTTCAAATGCTGTTAACATTTCATCAGAAATAATAAATCAGTAAAATATTGTTTCCTAATAATTTGCCAGTTTATACTTTGACTATCAACAATCCAATCTAGATGAGGTGTAACATTTCATATCAATTTTAATTTAAAAATTTCTTTGAAAAATTTCTGCAGTTAACATGTTCTTTTATTTATCAATTTAAGCAGAAAATAATAGTAAACAAAAGTAAATTGCATGTTTCGTTCTAGAATTTAAAATACCAAACAATAATTATTATTAGGCTGACATGCTTTGTTCAGTCGAGTAATATAACCAGGGATAATATACTATAAAACACATTTTCAGTAAATTTTTCGAAGAATTTCCAATTGAATTCAATCCATGAATTAATTTTCAGTATTAAACTTACGATACAACATGAAATAATATTAACATTTCATAATAAAATATAAATAAAATATAAATTTTTTTTGATTACTTATCGTATCTTTCATGCAAACACTAGCTTAAGAGTGTACATATCGATATAATCACCAAGATAAAATCAATGTAGCAATTCACTTACTTGAAATTCATAGGTAGATTCGTATATATATAAATGAACAATGATGCAATCAAATTGGAAATACATTCTGCTTACAACAACCTTGCACCATCGTTAACAATAATAAAATATTGGAAAGCTGAATTTAAACGTGGTCGTACGAGTTTTTTTGATGAAGATCGTCCGGATTGTCCACAAGAGGTTCCAACTGAAAAAACATTGAAAAAATCCACAATATTTTGTTGGATGATCCAAAAATTAAATTCCGTGAGATAGCAGAGATGACAAACATATTAAATACTACAGACATATCATATCATATCATATCATCTTTGAGTATGAAACAGCTTTCGGCAAGATGGGTGCCGCATTTGCATTGTTTGGAAATGTTTATACACAATTTAGCTGATCGTGAGATTCGAGTAGTGACAATAATGATGATATATATTTGTATATCACATAAATGTTTACTTAATCCTTTAACTCCTACTATTGAAGTATTATACGACTGTCTTACAGGAGTACAGAGCATGAAGTTAGCAATGACAAATATAAGGTAAGTAGATTGCTTTTTCGACTATAAGAATACAAAAATAAAGATAGAAGATGATACAAAAACATATATCTATAAATATTCTTTTTTATATTTTATGAGTTCTTACTTATTTAAATTTAATCAAATTTTGTCAGTAAAGCAGTGAATAACTCAACTTCTTAACAGATATAACCATCAATAGACAGCCATTTTATGAATATCAATTTTTCTTTGGAATTTACATTGTACAAGGTCACGTGATTGAAATGTTGCCAACAATGGTTTTTGAATTCACAAATGCAAATCTGATTGACTATTCCATTTGAGCCAATTTGGAGAGCAAGGTGAAGACTAAAAAATATATCACTATGGATGCACTGAAAAAAGCCATTTTTCCAGAAATCCATTTGAAATTTTTTGGAGAGCAAGGTGAACTAAGCCATTTTTTCCAGGAATAGGATAAAAAACCGGAAGATCACAATCGTGAAGCATGTAAATTATTTTTTGATCGTTGGAAGGCCATAGTCAAGGTTAAACATGATTACATCGACCTAAAATGAATGAATTCTGACATTCTGATTATTTCCACAATTTTTGTAATTTAAATCAATAAAAAATAATTTCACACAAAAAAGATATGGTCGCTTGTATAGGTAACAGTTCGCCTAACCCTGTATATTACTTGTAAGTATATTTACATATTTTTTTGAGCTGTTAAATAAATTTATTAAAATTTACAGTTGTCAGATAACTTTAGATGAAAAGTAGTTTTCGATTCATTCATAAACATTGCAGAACGCACGTGTTATTCCCCGAAGTGAGCATGCGTTATTTATGTAAAAGCAACTCATACGCAGTTATGTTAAATGTCATAACAGAAACTTAACAGCTTAACAGCTTTACAGATACTGTTGAGTTGAAACTGTTAAGATTTTGTATCTTAAAATTGCAAATGTTAAAATATTACAAAAACGAGATGCATTTACGTTATTGTAGCAGTTCGCGCTAAGGATTCTATGCGGCAGGACTAAAAAAATGCCAATAAAAAGGATTTTATTAGAAATGTTCGAAACACTTGTTGCGTTTGTAAAGTGAAATTAATTTTATTAATTGAAAACAAAGGAAACTCAAAGCAAATACTCAGTGCAATTATTGTTTTCATTGTGAAGTGTGAAAATTACATTCGCTTTGATTAAACAATGCCGGAAAATAAATTAATATTATTTTTCGCTACTTTTTTTATAATTTGTTGTGTTAATTCAGCGCAAGATGCTAAGTTGGCGGTTAATAGCAATACAACGACAACACATAATGCCACCGTTTTGGTGCACAAATGTGGCGATTCCAAGAAGATGGTAGATGAATGTTTCAATGATTTGCCGCCACATTTAATGGAATTTTTGCAATCGACAAAAATTGCCATTAACGAGGATGAAATAACATCGAAGTGCACGTAAGAAACAAGTGACAAATGAGAATTTATTTTTTTAAGGATAAAGAAAGTGTGAGGCATGTTTGTTCCGGATCGAAATTCCATGTTTGGAGTAATTCATGTGTAGAAAACCAATAAAAAAGAAAAGTTCAACCAATAAAAAAGAGGAAATGTAGAGCTTAAGCTTAATTTAATGGAAATACAAAATGAATTAGAGTCATTTGTTCCATTTATTGCAAAAATCGAAAATAAATAAAACAATAATTGGAATGTGTGTCTCCTTTGAAAATGCTCAAGCGAAAATAATAAATGAAGTTGTCATCAAATAAAAGTTGAATTGAGTTTATTAAATTATTCCAAAGAATTGTGTTGATAAAAGAAAATAATGTTTTTTTTTGTTAGAATTTTTATATGGTATAGAATGGGTGAAAGCAATTTAAATAACAAACAATAATATAAATTATTTAACATAAATAAATTAAACAATCAATATGTATTTATTGCGAATTGGAACTTGAAAAAAATTATTTTTATGGTATTGAATTTATATGTAAATTTTAATAAGACATTGGAATTAAGGGGAACTCATTAAAAAATTAGTACCATAAATAATTATTCTTTAAAATAAATGAAAAAATTATTTGAATTTTTAAATACTGTCAAACTTCCATAACTCAAACTTCTATAACTCGAATTTTTTATAACTCGAACCAAAAACAGTGCACCAAGGTTTTACAGAGCAAATTACATACAATTCTGCTTCCATAACTCAAACTTCTATATCTCAAACAAAAATTTTGTTCCGTGCCGATGGGAATATGGGAAAGTGCATTTTATAAGTCGAATTTTTGTTTTAAATATAAATGCATTTTGCTGTTAGGGAAAATCCCTTTTTCCAGTTGCTTCTTTGTGCATATGCCAGTCGCTGGTAGCGTGGTTTAAAGTAAATAAAATAACTTCCAATGCTTCTCTTAACGATTATATTGAGCTTGACAATGAAATTTGTAGATCAACCTTTCCTACAGATGACGATATTATTGAGCACTATAGCTCTAAATTACTGGACCCAATACTAAGAGCAACGGAAAGTGATGATATGGATTCGGTGGATGTAATTATTCATCAGTCTTCTAAGAATTAAGTAGAAGACTCATTCAATATTCTGAATTTATATTTTCAAACGAATGATAGTACAACTGATGATCACTATAAGAGTATGAATAAAGTGGAATCTCTTTTTACTGAAAATAAGAAAAAAAATTAAAGTCCCAAACCCTAATTTCTAAATATTTTACTTCACAATAACTTCTGTGTTTTATTTAATTGCAAATAAATAAATATATTAAAATGTAATTCTAGTTTCTTTCAAAAATAAAAATAATATAAAAAAAATTCTTCGAGTTCGAGTTACGGAAATTTGACTGTATAATAAATTGTTCAAAAAATACTTGCATGTATATAAAATTATATTATATTTAATTTATTAATTTATACTTTTATATATTATAAATATATTAAATAATATTTAAAAATATATGCACAAACTATTGGTCTCGTCCGTGCAATTCGTGGTGTAACATTAGCATGACTCTCTCAGTATTACTTTCCTAGTTTAGGTTCTATACATAAGAAAGATATATAAATTATGCAACAAATATTGCCTCTACAAACAGATTAGTATTGAAATTTAACAATTAAAAATAAAAGTATAATTAATTATTCATGTATTCTACAGCATGTTTATGATTTTGTTCTAATATAAACACAGCAAGTGAATTTGTTAATAAAACTTTCACAGCAAATTAACAAAACTCCAGAAAAATGTGCAAACATAAAAAGTCAAGTACGACTTTAAGACAGTTGGTTAAGGTGCGTCGACTCTGAGCTTCAAATTTGGCAGGGCACGAGTTCATCCCTTGTTAATTGCAATCTCAAAAAAATTATGGGCAATACTAGAAACTGCTGTATGGGCTGCCAAAAATTTAATTAATTAAAAAAATATAAAATAAATTTTTATTGTTGTAGTTCACTACAGTTCCAATAAACCACTTTATAAATATATTATCCAAAAATATAAAATAAATTTTAAATTTTAATAAATATTTATTTACTATAAAAAAAAATTATCGAAACTGATTTATTTACTAAGAAACTGCATTTTACGACGAATTGCTAATTATTTACCAAGAATTCTCTAATTAAATTTCTGTTCGAGTACGAATTTGTGAATTCTGGTGTTTAGTGTTCCAACAGCTTATGTTGAGCTGTTAATTTGTGGATTCTGGTATTTATGACCACAACAGAAGGTCTAGTGTACAAAGTAGATGCTTGTATGTGTAAATTAAAGTCAAAGGGAAAAGCCAATTAATGAGCCTATCGATTTGTTAGATTGTCGGAGTCCTTTAAAGTGCTGAAAATTAAAGACTAGACGACATGATGTATTACAGTTTTTCACTAAAAAATTTAAACTAAAAGCAATATTAAGAGGTTTTCTATACATTTAATTTTCAAACTTTAAGAAATATAATTTTATTAAATACAATTTTAAATCTAGCATGAAATGTTTATATTTTTGATTATAAAAAATTACTTTATTGTTATTCTATGTTATAATATTGTTATAATAACGAAAAGAATTTTGAAGAATTTTACATACAAATTAGTATCAAATTGTTTCTGACAACTGTTTCTTTAGGCTAAGAAGTGAAAAAATTATTTTCGGGTGAGGTGATGATACATCTACAATAATTACCGAAATACAACATGTTTATGAGAACTTTAATCAAACTAAAAACAAGCCAATATAAAACTTATCTTATCTTAAAGACACTTTATTCGAATTATTTATCTAAAATACTTGCTTCTAGTCCATTAAATAGTGCTTACTATTTGTTGGTTCGGAAATTTTTTTTACATTATTCCTTTTAATACTTTTAACATTTGATTTATTTAGAGATATATTTGATAATTTTTTCAGAAAACCTTATCTTTCTTTCATTTTATAAAATATTTGTTCGTCTATTTTTATCATTGTTTCTTAATTTTTTTATTTTTTGTGATGATATCAATATCTCATAGCAATGCAAAAATTTTAACAGGAAATATTTTCTTCTATCTCGCACCAATTTTCACTAATTAACATACTGCAAAGTAAACAAACAACCTGCTGAAGAGTTTTTCTTCTATCACATGCACTATTTTGCTATAACCCTCCTTTAAAGCAAACAATCCACTGTTTTTTTCAACAACATTAACGTGCGACTGAGGCATCTGGACTGATAATTTTTTCAGTATTCAGTAGAACATTTGCTGATTCTTATTATTATGGAGTACAGTAGAAAATTCTAATTAAATTTAAAATTCAAAGTATTTGAAAAAAGTAAAATAAGAGTAAAAATTAAGTAAAATAAAAATAATTTTATTTTTTAACTTTTTTTGTGGTATTTTCTAAGTTCTATGTAACACAAAATAAGCTCAGCTGACTTTAACATTTACTTTTACGACTTCAGCAGAAAATACTTCGGGGATTTTACTGTAGTTCCTCAGCAAAGCTCCCTTCTGTTTTTAAACTTATTGATATATTGTTACTGTTTAATAAATTCAAAGAAAAAGGTTAAAGTTCCAACCATGTAATGCCAATCGGAAAGGTAACTGCTATAGCTTCTTAATAAGAGCTGAATTAAAATCAGGACCATCATTATTATAACAAACAATGTCATTCTACGACCTATGACAGATATTAAGCTATACCTGATAGAAGACATGTACGCTTATTCGAATGATATAGGACTATTGACAAATCTAACAGTATCCCTTGATTCAGAATACAAACCTTCAAACACAGTTAAATGAAAGCCTTATATGAAGACACTTGCTTTGTATTTCGAAATCACATGACAAAGTGGGTGGATCTTGACACTGGAAATCAAAGCAAAACTAATATCAATTTCGAATACCAATGTTATAAATAAACTAATACTCAAGTAATATGTAAATATTATATATTATATTAATTTTTATATATTATATTAATATAATATATTATATGTTATAATAATATAATATATTGTATAAAATACCTATGTATATATTTATTAGTGGCATGTACTGACTTGTCTTAGTAGAACTCTTTTTACATTCTTCTTGCTAACAAAAGTTTTAACTGATAATTATTTATTATTATTATTATTTGCTTCGCTCTAAAAATAATTATCATATAAGCTTAAGATATACTTAATAGTATGAGGGAAAAATGATCAACAATTAACCAGACATTAAATATAGTTTTAAATAAAATAAATCAAACTTATCAAGTTTGAACTCATTTATTAACTCATAAAAAGTATATATCCTACACGATTTTTTTCGTTTTTTTATTAAAGAGATCTGCTCATAAATTTATGTACTTATGTAAAAATTTATGATGAAGTATACATACAATAAAATAAGTACACTTATTATTCTATTAAAATTTGAATGAAGTTAAATAAATAAAAAATTATTTTTTAATCGTTTATAGTAACTCTATATATTCTTTATGAAACCTTTTTTCAGTGTTTTCGATCGCGGTATGAAATGCTTTGATGAATACACCGCCAATTGCTTACCCGATAAGAATTTGTTGATTTTCAAGAATAATGTTGAAGGCGCAAAGAACTTTTTCAAAAAATTTTGTGGAGATCGCGATTTTCAAAGAGGTGAGTACTAACTAGTTTTATAATTTTATTAATTAAATGTATGTATTTAAAACGAGAATAAGATACTTTAAGATACAAAAATTGATAATATCCTCCATTTATATACATTTTATATCAAAGTTAGATGCTATCACAACCCATTCATTGATATTTGTACTTCAATTCAATTATTATTGTTTATTAAATATAAAAACAAATTTTTTATTTTATATTTTAGTTTTAATTATATTTAAAAAATATAAATTTTTTTATATTTAGAAGCTTGCGATATAACACACAACCAAGTTCTATTAGTTGTCAGGCATTAAAACAAACGATAGGCGAGTAGATTCAGTATTCTAAGAATAATGATAAACAATTATCTAATTAAGGTATATATATATAAGAGCATAACTCTTTTCAATGAAATTAATGAACATTTGGATAACAAAAATAAGAAAGTTGCAGACTTAGGAGTCTATAATCTCACGACTTACAAAATACTTGCTAAATACCTTCTATTAAATGCTAATTTAAAGATGTTCAAGTAAATCTAGATCTAGAACTGAGAATGTATAAAATGTTTGAGTTATAGACAATACAAATGGTATAGCGATCTTCAATATCCAATAACAATTGTTTATAAAAAACTAACTGTAAGATTTGTCACGCAGACCAAACCCGTAACCAATTAGGCAACCATTTTTGGATTTTCTATTTCTCTTATACTGCTTAGATTATGTTCGAAGAATATAATGATAGGGAAAGAAGTCGGAGAAGAGAAGGTGTGGTTGAACTGAATGAATGACACTTTAAATTCCTTCCTATCCATCGCATTCTACATATCTGGTCCTCAGTAACTAGTGGCGTTCTGCCAACTCAAAACGATGTTCTGCAGAAGAAAATTTAGTTTGAATGAAGAAGTGATTGTTGAAACTTCGACCAAGGTCCAATTTATAAAATAAATGTAAGTTCCTCTTAGCTGAACCGAAAGACTTATTGAGTCTTGATTTAATAAGTTGCTTCTTTAGAATATATATATTCTAAAGCTTCCATTCTTCTAAAGCTTCTTTAGAATATATGTCTTCTAAAGAATCAACGTATGAAGTGTATTGGAAATCATATTTACAAGATTTTTTATTTTGGCCATATCAAGGATAAATGAATTAGAAATTTATTTATTTAAAAATTATTATTTTTATGTATAAATAAAGCAATCACTTATTTTATTTTCCTCAGTATAAAATAAAAAAAAATATTGCAAAACAAATAGAAATAATTTTTGTAGGGAAAAACAAACTAAATGGAATTTACGGTATATATTCCTCAGTCTGCTAGATTGAGATAGAGCTGATGCTCACCTTTACATAAACGTGTTTGTTTTTAATATTAACTACCAAAAATGTATTAACGATTTTATATGTTTTAACAATTCATGACTGAACTACCAATTCTCTTATATTTTTAATTGGATTTATTAATAAATTAAAGTATATATTAAATTACTTCATCGGAGCAGTCAGTTGACACTTGACAGTTTAGTTTCGATTTTTCTTTAATGATTCTGACAGCTTCCTTCACAGTAAACGAACTTTAGCTGCGGAAAATTATTACGCAGCATTTCTAAAGTTGCAAGTTAGTAACTTATTAAGTATGATATTGAAAAAAAAAGAATTCTTGCAATATGTCATCATATGCATTGTACCTACATTATATGCTATTGTTTATGTACTTGCTCAATAGACTTTACGGTGACGCAAAAGTTTCTAATTTAATTTACTACGCACTTTGCAGATTATTTACGACATAAGGACTGTTTTTCCTACATACAGGATGATTGGAAACGCTGCACAAGGAATTTTCAAAATATATTGGCTGATGAACTGCAAATGGAAAGTACAAATGTAACCAATAAATTTATGGAGTTTTGTTGGTAAGTAACTTCGAAAGGACTCTGTATCTTATATTTAACTAAATTTTTCCTTGACATTATTAATTTTTATAATTTCATAATATATTCCACATCATTTCACTGACTTCACTGCTTCAAGCGGAAGTCTACAATCGCAATCAAAGTTGACATATTTAATTTAATTTATCACTTTGTGTTCTTACTTTGTCTGGTGTTTGTAGTGCTCGATACGCCTATGAGAACTGTATCTACAGCAGCGCACGTTACAAATGCTATAAGAACTCGGCTAAGTTCGCACGTGATACGGCAAAAATGTTGTCTGATGAAAAACACTTCAGCAGTTGCCGGCAATACGAGAACGCCTTGTGTAACGCTGGTCACAATTATCGACTTGGAGGACAATGGCCATTGATGCTGGGAATGCTTTGGTTATTGCTGTTGTGTACATACGTTGGTTTATGCAACAATTGTAAATAAATCAATATCCAATTAATGGAGTATATTATTATTATTTTTTTATTATATTTTTTATTAAATTATTTTAAAGGTGTGACGTTGAAATGTGAATTTAGATATATAAAATTGATAATAAGTGAAATTTAATTAGATTCAATTAAGGGTGGGATAGGTTATTAGTGATATTTCTATGGTATTCTATGGTATTAAATTGCAATTGTGTCGAGTTTTTAAATATTAAAATTAATAATACATGTTAGATTAATACTGTGTTTCTAAAACTGAATTACTAAAATCTTATTAAAAAATCTACTATTTTCATAAAAATAATAAAACGTGTTTTTTATTGAAATATGTGTAATTTAAACTGAAACCAATATAAATACCATTTTAAATTATTTTATTTGCAATAAAAAAAAAATACATCTATAAATGAAAAATTACACTGTAGAAATGATAAATAAATCTTAAGACATTTCATAATTTATTATAAAAATGCAACAAAACTCAGAAACGTAAAATAACCAAGTGTTAGTAGAGTGTTTACTACAATTATTTTAATAGGCAGATTTTCACAAATAAACATAGTTTTTTCTTAAATTTCATTTTGTAATATTTACTCCAAAAATTAAACAAAAAAAAAAATTAAAATTGCAGACACCATTAGAACTGCTATATTTATCAATAATTTCATATTGGCTCATATTGAACGATTACTTACTTTCTCTCCTAACAAGTCATTATAAAATTAACAAGCCAGTATAAAATTCTCAACCAGCTTCTATACCTTGTCTTTTATCTATATCGGTTCCACAACAACTTAGCTTGTATTCCACACTAAGGCCCTAACATTATGACCCAGAATGGAGCGACTTACGTTTAATAGATTAATCTAACTTCGGCCTGCCGCTTTTGTTTATTTTTCTTCCATAATTTCTAGCTTATATATATTTTATTTGTTAAAAATTTCCTATTGAAACTTCTGATCTATATTCGATTAGCTAAATTCTGTTCATAAGAAATCTATGAATAAAAATTTCCTCTGTAGAATAATTTATTCCGAAGATATTGTTTCAGTAAGTTGAATTCTCACACATCCTTAAATGCATTCCGCCTAATAAATTAATTAATTTTAAAACTAAATTTTTATAAGAAATATTTGTATTTGTAATATAAACATATAATCGAATGATATGGATCAGAAAAATTAGTAAGTGCTTCATGTATAACTTATGCAGAGCTGAGCGAAAATTTGAATGAATATTTTGAAAATCAAGTTCTGAAATAAATATTTATATATATGACATTATCCTCTTCACCGTCACACAAAAAATATTCCTCTAACAATAAATCTATTACTCCTCTCCATGTGTTACTATTTACTTTTAATATATTATCACATAATTTTTTGCTTAAATACAATATTATGATTACATTATTTTGGAGCAATTATATATGAAATATATTTTTAATTTTAATAAGAGTTGTATGCATTTTCACCTACTTTCCAAAAAAAAAAAAAAATTCACCTCTGGGACTTATATTCAATTCAATTCAATTATAAAAAAAAATTTTTTTATGACTAAAATTAAATACCAATAAAAACATTGATGAAGAGTTACCATCTCTTCATCAATATAAAGAATTATTTGTACGACAGAGATCTACAAATTCAACAAAAGAAAAACGTCCTGACTGATTTAAACTTATTGATTTAAATTTATTTGAAAAAAAAAATCACAAAAATACATAAATCTTATTTAAAAAAAAGAAGTCTTACCCGAAATATATAACTAAGAGAGCAACTCTTCGAGAGAGCAAAGGATGATTCATCCTTTCCATGAAGGGTTTCATACACTTACTTATATGGAGTATGACAGTGATACTAGATATATAAGTATTTCATTGAGTTCAGAGTCATCTCCAAATACTATGTACAGAATAAATTTATACTGCTTATTCATTATAAGATGGCAAACTTCATTGATATGCCTTAAGATACTGTAGACATTGAGAGGGCATAGGATTATCAGAAGATTATCTACACGACTCTCCAGTGTAATAAATTTATAAACTTAAGTGGAATATTTATATTTATATTATAATTTTTTTTTCTTTCGTATATTTACTAAAATAAAGTTGTATCATAAAGTCTAATTCATAAATTACACTGATAAGTTTCAACAGCTAATACATTTTAAATAGTATTTTGCAAATGGATATCGTTTAAATACCGCCCCATATTAACGAAAGTGAGGATAGAAATTTTTCGACAACATATTGACATTCTACATAAAAATTATTAATCAATTTTAAATTAAAACTTTTCAATACATTCTAAACTAAATTGAAATATTAGTTTTATTATAAAATTTTTTGGTTAGAGGTAAAGTATATTCATATACCTTATTTTTTTTAACATTGAATAAGACACTAATTAGTCTTGCATTGCTAAATAAATATATAGGAATTAATGTAAATACTGATGTCTGAACACTAATATGGTCTATAATTGAGTATAAAAATTATTTCATCATAATTGGTTGTTCATAAAATACTTTATTCGCAGTCCCATGTCTCTCCTAGGAGTATGGAGTATTACTTTATTCGCGGATTCAATAGAACATATATATATATATAAAACTCGAACAGAAGTAATGACTCAAAATTCTGATTCGTTTTATAGCACAAGTAAAAGTGGACAAGCACGTGTTTGTGGAGTTGAGAGTCACCGAAGCCAAACGGGACTTTTCCAGACAAAAAAGATGATGTTCCGTTTGGTAGCAACCATACGTTCGAATAATATCACAAGATTATTCCTAATTCCTAAGCTAGTGTTAACTTATAAATATATATATTACTTTATTAACTATTCTGGGTGTGAAGAGTATATCCACATATGTGTTTCCAAAAACAAAAGGTTATTAATTTTAATTTCTTCTGAGAAAAGTTGTATAAATATTTATCAATATAAATATTACAGTCATAATTTACAAAAATACAAGCAATAAACTTTTCTTAATACTAAAATTTCGACTAATTTATAAAGGGAACAACCACGATCCTTATTAGTAGTTAATTGTTTCCATCAAAAACATCTGGCACTAAAGGTAATGACATACATGAAATTTATAGTCCTTTAAGTCACACCTAATTTGATGTGAAACACAAGTACTAAAAAAAAAAGAATGTGGAATAATAATGAAGTTTACTTTTGTAATTTGTGTGATAAAATTCGTAATATTTATCTTGCCGCCGCAAGCAGATGCAGCTTTAGTCTGTCAGATACTAAGAATTTATGTGCACACATAGTCGAAGGTTTTCCAGTACGAGTAATTAGTAGTATATCAACACGGGAAGGAAAATGCGCAAAATTTCGTCAGGTAAACAAACAAGAAACAAATTACATCATGAAAGTCTTCCAATATAGAGTGCACTGTATATATATATATATATTTATTTGAGTTCCCTTCATAAAGCGTGTACAAAATTTATTCTAAGAAAATAATTCCAAAAGAATTTTAATTAAGATTAAATTTTCCTTTTAATAAGCATTGGACTTGAATGTTGATTATTGCGACTGCATTGAATGGTTCCCTCAACTTTCTAAGACAGTAATTAAACTAAGACAGTAATTAAGATTTCAAGTTAATCCCAATTTAAAGCATTAGAATTTTTTAAAGTAAATTAAATTTAAATTAGATTTAAAGCATAAAATGTTTATTAACTTTGTCTAGTAATAATTTTAAATAAATAAATTAAATAAAAATAAAATAAAAAATAAAAATAGCAAATAATATTAGTAAGTAAGAGCTATAATAAATTCTATTTTTCGAGATAATTTTATATTAATTATTTACATAAAAGCATAGGCTTGAATTTCCATTTCATGCGATTTTTTGACAGCACTGTTTTAGTAACATATGTCAAACAGAGCTGTCATCGATGCCATTACAAGCTTAGTTTAAGCTTTGCCATTTCACATTGGGAATCGTTTAACAACCGCTAAACAAATGAAATATGTCAAACAGAGCTGTCATCTACGGCATTGCAAGCTTAATTTGAATTTCGCCATTTCACATTGGGAATCGTTTAACAACCACTAAACAAATGAAATATGTCAAACAGAGTTGTCATCCACGGCATTACAAGCTTAATTTGAGTTTCGCCATTTCACATTGGGAATCGTTTGACAACCGCTAAACAAATGAAATTGTGAAAACTTTTAACAAAAGTGGTGAAGATATATTTATTTTTTACTTGTTGAATATTTATAAAATAAATTGTCATATTAACGATATAAAATATTCAAAGTATATGTAAAAAGACAATTGCATTAGTGAATGGTGTTGCAATAATCTAGAGGTGTGATAGACAGAAACTGTCAATTCTAATCGTTATAGCCTAATAATTACCAATTTATTTTATAAAAAATTAATGACATGAATTTAGACATGTGGTTTGAACACGACTGTGGTTCTAACGACATAATACATCTTCTTTTGTTTTTGTTGTACGAGAAAGTAGGTGGGCGTGGAATTTCATATTTTGGTAATGTGAATTAGCTACTAAAATCTTGCAATTTGTCAAGACTGGAACTATTTTTGTTTAATCACAAAAAGAAATGTGTTTATGTAGACACTCTTCAAGCTGTCGACGCTTTGAAAATGAACATCCTACAAGATTTGACAGAGCAATTGGTAGTTTTGTGCTGACAAGTGGACAGAAATAACCTCAAAAGGTTGCAGTATTATAAAATGTACTATGGATATTTTAATGATATTAAATGAGGTTTTGATTATGTAGGTATATTTCATATAACAGTAAAATTAAATGAACAATTTTAAAATGTATTCATTTTAAAAAAAAAGCAAAAATACTTTTAAATATCATTAATTATGTAGTTTATGAGATTTTGAAATATGTTTCTATATATGTTTTCTTTAAACTGGAAAGAAAGCACAGTTTAAAAAAGTCTGATATAGAAGAAGACCATAGATAGTATTTAGAAAAAACTAGCATATAATTTTAGAAAAAATTATAATTAT